TGGTCTGTGAGAACGGAAACCGTGAATGAATATTCACGGTTTCCGTTCTCACAATGTAGGAGAGCTATATCTTCGTTATTTTATGAGTGAAAGCGTCGGTATGTGTTGGGAAATCTGGGGGAAGGAGCTAGGGGGTGTAAAGGAGGGGTGTCAGGAGCTAGGGAATCTGGGGAAGGGCATTGTTATGACACGAGTGATTCCCGTGTGTATCCGGGAGGGAGTGGAAAGGATAGAGGGGATGGAGGTAGGGAGAATGTGCGTATATTTGGGGTTGAAGGGGGTGGGTTGTGTTGGGAGGGAGTAGGCGGAAGTTGTGTGGGGGAGTATTAGTGGTAGGAGGATGGATATTGGAAGGATGGATAGTTGGAGTTGAAGGGGATGTATTGTCTTGGGAGGGAGGAAGGGGTATAGGGGTGCTATGAGTAAGAGGGGGATGGGTATCGGAGGATGGATATCGGTGGTGGACGGAATTGAGGGGGTTAGGTTGTGTTGAGAGGGAGTAGGGGGAATATGAGTAGGAGGGGTATGAATATCGACAATCACTTCAAATGTGGAGGGAGCATGAGTTATGGGATCTTGTGTCTCAACCATATAGCTTTGAATGTCTTCCATAGTTTCTGCAGTGGAGTTGGTTGGAGAGTTTTGGAGGGACAAAGGTTTTCTTATGTGTGTGTGGGGGGGGGGGAGAGGACACTGGTCTGAATAAAAGGTAGATAAAGGTAAAGGTAGGTGGAGGTGAGTGTGCTGTAGGGGAAGAAGGGTTAGAACATTTAGTCTGCGGGTAGTGCGAGGAGGGAGAGGGAATGGTGTTGGGCTGTAGTTGAGAGAGATTGGGGTGTCTGGAATTAGAGTGGCAAAAGAATTGGTCTGAGGGAGGTAGAATGTAGAAGTGGAAGTGGGGACATCTTGGGTGGAAAGGGGAGGGGCATAGCGAGCGATGTTACTAGAGTATGGAGTATGAGAAAAACCGTGTACGTGTTTCCTGTCTGGCTTCACGTAAAGTGAGACCATTTTTGTATCTGAGAGTTGCTACCTCAGATTCAAGTGGGACAGCCTCTATAAAACACATTATGGGGCCGCCGCAGTTAGCAAATGTACATGTTTGTGCAGAGCAGTTTGATCGGTTATGACCAGGTGGAACGGCAGTGTTTGGCAGGATGTCCAAAGCGCCAACAGTTTTGACATTGACGGGGAGGGGGTTTGGTATGGCCGAACAGGGAGGGATTGTCCACCAATATATATACGTAAGGGAAGGTCATGTGTACGGAAAGTAATTTTGGCAATGTTGGTCGGATTCTTTTGTTGACCTCTAGGAGGAATGGTATAGCAATGTACTGATTTCACATCTTGGTCTTTGAGGCATCCTAATAAGTCTTCTCCACAGTTCCGGTACAAGTATTAAGAGTTGGATGAGGTTGCCAGAGTGATCAGTTAGATTTGATAATGCTATAGCTTCAGTTTCAGATCTGAATTGTTACGAGACGGGAACGATCGCGTCTGGTATGGAAAGGGACTTAACAATGTCTCCAAAAACAAGTGGGCAAAGAAGAGTTGCCTGAGTAAAGAGCTGTAGAAAGGATCACAAAATCTGTCCCATTTGGCTGGGCTAAATAGAGTATTTAAATTTGTAGGGGTGGTGGTGGTCAGGGATGTGTGGAAGAGGGAGTAGTGTTGAGGGGTGTCGTATTATAGAGAGATGGAGAATAAGGCTGTAAGGTAATAAGGGAGGATGGGGTGCTTGAAGAAGCTTGTGGGGGTAGAGTTGATGAATTTGAGGAAGGTGGGAGGGTAGGATGTCTCCTGGAGATTGAGTCTCGGCTGGATGGGTAATGCACTAGTAGGCATTGAGTGGGGGGTAGTAGTTTATGTTAAGATTAGTGGTTCAAGGAGAGCCTGGGGTTGGAGAGCCGTGAGAGTTTGAATACGTGGGGCCATTCGATGAAGAGGCAAGCCTCATTGCCCCTAATAAGGGTATTACATCTTCATTACTGGCCATGGGAAGCCTTACTTATGTAGGGGAAATGTACTGTCGCCCCTGAAGGGGCACTGAAGGGTGAAGGGCTAGGAAAATAAATCAGGGAAATACTGTGCCCATGGTTCCCACAGGCCGTTTAGACTGGCACAAGGTAAGCCTTTCAGCACGACTCTTACACCTTAAGAAAGTAGACAGAAAGGGCTGGAGAAGGGAAGGGAAGGAAACAAAGCTGGGAGAAAAGACCATGCAAAATTAGTAGAGTTAAGGGCCGAGGGCCTAGGCAGGGGAGATCACTGCATTGGGCGTCTCTAAAGACCCTACATGCAAGGGATTAACGGGGGGCAGGGGAATTCCCTGTTTCCCTGACATTCGCTCATGGCAGAGACTCCTACCAGACGATTGGAAGCATTTTAGGAAAATGGATGTGAAGTACACCCAACAACAAAAGCGATGTAGCCTCGCCAGACCTGAGCTTGGAGAGATCTTGCCCTTCTTGTCCTGAAAGGTGGCCCACGTTCAAACAACCTGGACATAGTTGGGAAATGGGGGGGTGGGGAGGAAGGGGATGATTTAGATTCGCTAGGAGTGAGTGTTCTGCTATGTTTCAGTCCCATCTTATCTGCACCCCCCCCCCTCCCTCCTCTCTCTCTCTCTCTCTCTCTCTCTCTCTCTGTAATATTGTTGGGTGTGAATAATGTATTGTCTCAAATAGCGCCTCTTGGGCTACCAAACAATAAATGGTTTTGGCCACAAAACTTCGAGGGTAATAGGCTGTAAAGGTATAGGTATTGATTCCCTTTTATTTCGTTTGGGTATCTTCTATGAACCACGACCTCCAGTCACGTTCATGAATTGCAAAGCATGGTTTGGTTGGGGTCAACTTGAGTGTGATGGGCCACTTGGCTCCACCCCTTGCAATCATACTTACATGAAGTATTAATGTCTATTACATCAGCATTAAGTTACTTTTGAGATACAAATTGATTTAAAGTGCATTGAAACTGTTGGAAATCAATGATGTAAAATGAAAAGCAATGAATGTGCAGCGGTGCATGAATATAATGGTGAGGTACATAGGACGCACATGTTGCAAAACTTGTACTTTTAACATCTTTTAGTATCACATTCTTAATTGACATTCTTTAGACCTGGGCAGATTGGGCACTTCCTAGCAAACCCCTTTCCCAGTTCACGCTTGCTCACTAAACCCGCGAAAGGCTGCGTCAAGCTTCACTTACCCAAGGCTAAGGGGATATTCCCTTAGCCTTGACTAATACGCCTTTGTCGTTTCAGCGACTGGTGTCCAACACCTTGGTGTCCCCTCCAAACTATTCAAGAAACCCATTGCTTTCGATATCAGTCTTTTTACAAATTAATTTCATTATTTTGGCAATTTAATCATTGTAAACACCTGGAAGTATAATGGTTAATGGTTAAGATAAATGTGCTAGACATCTAAGGTCATATAGCACTTTAGGAAAGTATAGTAAAGAGGGATGTCAGGTGAGTTATGTGTCAACTATCTAGAATAGTGTTGAGAGGTTGAGGATGAGGGCAAAGATTATGGTGGTTTAGGTAAGGGAGTTAGATAAAGTGAAGGATATTTGTGTGTCTGAGGAAGGAGAACAGGTTGTCGAGGCAGAAGCTGTGAGATTCTGTAAGGATGTCTGATATGTTGGGAGGTCGGTGAAGGGAGGATAGGTGTGTCTGTTTTTGTGAAATGGAGCTGACCAAGAGGAGATTGATGGTTTTACCTGGAAGTATAATGGTGTATGAACTAACGTCATATGTTCAAAAGTCTACCATTATATAAATGGTGGATTCAGGTGATAAGAGAAGTCAGAGTAGCTGCTTAGGATAATGCAGAGCCATATATTAATATACATCCTTATAGAGGATAGTTGTCTGAACGGATGTTAAATATGAACAGTTCCAGTAATGTTCAAGATTGTTATAGAAAGTATAAGGAATTTAAATTAAACGATGTGTTAGGATTTCTTTATAATCACTTTAGTATTTTATTTATTAATGCAGGTTTCTAATAGGTCCAAATTAACAACTAAATAGGAATAAAAGCGATCCCTCTTCATGTACATGTCATTTTTGCACTTCCCCCCGATTTCCGTACTCACCCCCCCCCCACCTCACATTAGAACAATCCTAACCATGCCCTAGTCGTTTGAATGCGGTCGTTTCAAGGCAAGGGCATGATCTCCCAATCCCAGGACTGGCGAGGCATCACCGCTTTTGTTGCTGGCTGTATATGGCATCATATGGTTGAGCTTAGTTTCGTGTTGAATTTTGTACCATTTTGTACTAGGTATTTTGTAGTATTCAGTTTGTATTTTGATGATATGCCGATAAATGTAGATTTAATATTTTTACTGCTTCATTGCTTTCAGCAAAAGGAATTGCAATTAAATCTTGAAGATAGCCTCATGACGTGATTGCAGATAGGGAAAACAGTACCTTGGTCACCCTTGAAGTATAGAAGTTAGGCACTGGAAGAAAAAAAAGAAAGTGGCGTTTTACACCGTTCGTATGAGAAAAGGTGTTTGAGAGCTGAACAGGAGACTACAGAAGTAGGGAACTAATCCCCTCCCCCCAATGACAATGAGTATGGGATTAGGGGGTAATTGTATAGAAATTACACATTTCAGTGAAGTGAATAATTAATGGTATTACTGAAAAGTTACTTTCCTTGCCCTCCCCTGTGCTGAAAAGGTACTGCCTTTGTTTTATGGTCCTTTTTACGAATGTGGCACCATAGGAATCCTTAATATGTTAAAGCAACTACTCCATGCATTCTGCAGTTTAATGCAAGTAGTTTAGTGTACAGCCACAGATCACGTCAATTCATTGCTCTTTGATTATGTTAATCCCCAGCTTTTAATTTTTGGTCTTCCTAAACCATCCATTTAGTACCTATTCATTTTGTTCCATGGGTAGGAAAGTAATATGGTGTAGGGCCAAGGGGTCATTCCAAGCTCCTAGTTAGGGGGTAGGGTGTATGCATGCAAATGGAAAAGCTTTTTAAATTAAAAATTTAATATAAATCATCTTCAAGATGTGTCGATTCCAGTTCGAGACCCTCTAGTGTCGTTTACTTTAAGAAGTCTAGGAGCTCAGGACCTGATTCTGTAGGTTTGCAGGCAAGTCGTTAAACATTTCTTGGGGTACACCATCTGTGGGATAAAAAAGAAGACTTCAGTATGCTTATCCCAGGCAAAATATGCCTAGCTAATTAGAAAACCACATTTGTTAGTAAAGCACTTCTTACTTGCAGACCTACAAGTTTTAGCTTAAAGGTCTGCCTTCCAAGACAATGGAAGGAATGTTACAACCTTCTAGTCAAGCAGACTAGAGTTATACCCAAGTCCAACATACAAGGCAATTTTAATCACTAGCTTCACTAAAGCTCCCAAGTATTTAGAGGGGCAGTCCAACTTACTTGCACATTTATACTCCATGTTGGACCATATAATTTCTTCCTGGGAGAAGCAGTAGAGCCCCAGTCTGCCTCCTTTCAGGGTGCCATCATAAATGTTTCCAGAGTCCATGACCTGTTTAGTGCCCTGGTACAAGTAGAACCTCATGGCTCCAATATCTGGCCGGTGGTGAAGCAGCCAGCGGTAGGCAACTTTGGGTTTCCATCCAATGCTGCCATCATGCCAGAGCATTTTAGCCTGAAAAGTATCCATTACACCATTAAGCCAGGATGGTTAGCCATACAGTCAACTCACAGGATATAGATTGCAAATATGCCCAGACAAATCCTGCAGGTTATCCAGGGCATACCAACCTGGTTTGCTGTAGACCCAGTGAACCACAATGCATCCCTAAGTTTTGTGCCAGGGCCGGTGTTGGAGTTCACCAGCTTCAGAGTAACACCCCTCTCTGCTTTGTTGAACCAGTTTTGCGGTCCTTTCTTCCAACTCACGACATAGAACTTGGCATTGCTTTGGTAACTGAGAGTCCAAAAAAAAAAAAAAAAAAACACATGTGAGGGCCAATCTTTCATTGGCAATTTGACATCTTTCAGTGGATTAACAATACTTACCCGAATATAAAGCCAACGAAGTCATCATCACTCGTGTCTTCAACAAAGAAGGTCCCCTCAAAGTCAACATCCCCCATAACATGGTCACCTGCAGTTACAATACAATTAGTTTTGTGCAGAGCCATTTAGATTCTCAGGCATTTCAACCCTTTCCATCATACATACCCACTGCTATAGCTGGGTCAGAGTTCACGGTCTGATGAATTTCTGCACCATTGTCATACACGACCCATACTGGAGGAGTAGATGCCGTTTGTGGGTCTAGTGCCACCATTTGCAGGTGTCTGCAAAGTTTAAAAATAAGGTTCAAATGGCTGTTCTAGACCTGGCCTTCCTGCCCTAGTCAAATTTAAAACTTGCTTCAATTACTGGCCAAGCCGACTTCACCTGAAGTCGGTGCTGTGCACAGAAGGGTTTGCAATGCAGTTGTCATCAGAATCTAATATCTTGTCACCATCCAAGTCATTGCTGCAGGCATCACCACGACCATCCCCATCGGTATCCTTCTGGTTCTTATTTCGGATTAGTACGCAGTTGTCAGTCTTGTCAAGCACACCATCATTGTCACTGTCTGCATCGCATACATCACCTTTACCATCACCATCTACATCTTGCTGGTCACCATTGGCCACATTTGGGCAGTTGTCCACACTGTCCTCCACACCATCACTGCAAGAGAGAAGTAGAAGTTTTATTAGCCGTCATTAAATTTACTCTGTAACTAGTTTGCCAGGTAGCACAATAAATGTCCATGCCTGTCAGTGTCCACGTCATCATCACATGCATTCCCTAGAAGATCTTCATCCTTATCTTTTTGCCCAGCATTGGGGTGCTTGGGGCAGTTGTCACAAGCATCTCCAATACCATCTCCATCCCCATCAGCTTGGTTGCCATTAGCTACCTTAGGACAATTATCTGCAGCATTTAGCAACCCTGAGGGAAGAAATGGGGGACTAAAATTCTTGGCCCAAGATGAAAGGAGGGGGACTGGAGGCCATCAGTCAAGAATTAGAGTAATAAGCATACCATCATTATCAATATCATCGTCGCATTTGTCGCCTATACCGTCCCCATCAATATCGCTTTGGCTGGGGTTTGAGGCATCAGGGCAGTTGTCACATAGGTTTCCACGTTTATCGTTATCCTTGTCGCTTTGCCCACTGTTGGCTACCAGTGGACAGTTATCCTGGAATGCAGGAGCATATGGAATATTCGAGGTGGACTAGTGTTGGCATACAAGATCCCAGCATTCCAGGTTAGTATATTATTATTATGTCCATCTCCATCAGCATCAGCATCACAAGCATCGCCAATCTTATCACCGTCGGCATCCTCTTGCCCGGAGTTCGGCCTATTAATGCAGTTATCCTTGCGGCAGTACTTGCTTGAACAGCTCAGTTCAGTGTCTGGGTAGCCATCAAGGTCAGAGTCTGGAGCACAGTCTGCACCTTCACCGGCAAAGCCAACAGGGCACTGGGAAGTGAAAGACGGTTAATTAGTATAAATGAATATAATGCAATTAGTTTGAATCGACTAACTAACCAAACACTTGCCTTGAGCACCACGCAGACTTGTCCATTACCAGTATAACCAGCAAGGCAAGAACAAGTTCTGCTACCAGCAGTGTTGGTACACTTAGCTTTAGCATGGCACCCACCATTAGCTACCAGACACTCGTCCACATCTGGAGGATGAAGTTTATAGCATTTACTAGGTTATCGAAATGTCAGTGGAATAGACAAGTCAAAAGACTAAGGATACTAAAACTTCAAGGGTACTTGCCTGTGCACACTAGGCCATCTCCTGTGAACCCTGATTTACAAGCACAGTCACGGCTGCCTGCAGTATTGCTGCACCGGGCATTTGCGTCGCAGCCACCGTTAGCAACCAGACACTCGTCCACATCTAGAAGTTATAGCATTTACTAGGTTAATGAAATGTCAGTGGAATAGACAAGTCAAAAGACTAAGGATACTAAAACTTCAAGGGTACTTGCCTGTGCACACTAGGCCATCTCCTGTGAACCCTGATTTACAAGCACAGTCACGGCTGCCTGCAGTATTGCTGCACCGGGCATTTGCGTCGCAGCCACCGTTGGCAACCAGACACTCGTCCACATCTAGAGGATGAAGTTATAGCACTTACTAGGTTAAAGATGTCAAGTCTTAACTTACCTATTCCATTAAGGACTAGAACTTCCAGGGTACTTTCCTGTGCAAACTAGGCCATCTCCTGTGAACCCTGATTTACAAGCACAGTCACGGCTGCCTGCAGTATTGCTGCACCGGGCATTTGCATCGCAGCCACCGTTGGCAACCAGACATTCATTTATGTCTGGAAGAAAAATTTCAGTATAATTGATCAGTACTATGCAATATTTTTGCACATTTCAGTACATGAAATGACCAAAAAGAATCTTAAGTCCTGGGGAATGAACTAAGAAATAATTAAAGGTTTTAGGTGTAACCTGCGAAGATTCGTCCCCCTAAAAAGTATCAGGTTGTAAATGTACAAGATGGAAAATCAGTCTTTAAAAAAGTTTATCCTGTTCATGCTAGTAACCTTATCAATTTCCATACGAGGGGTTAGTTACCCTTTACTCACCAGTACACTGAAGTCCATCTCCAGTGTAACCAGGATGACATGTGCAAGTTCTGCCACCAACAGCATTTTTACAGTCCGCATTTGCATGGCACCCACCATTAGCCACCAAGCATTCGTCAACGTCTGTAGGGTATTGCGGCAGATTAAAAATAAAATTTAAACTGCAACAGCAATTAATGCCACTTAAAAGTAGTGTACTTGCCTGTGCAAACTAGGCCATCTCCTGTGAACCCTGATTTACAAGCACAGTCACGGCTGCCTGCAGTATTGCTGCACCGGGCATTTGCGTCGCAGCCACCGTTAGCAACCAGACACTCGTCAACATCTAGGTGGATGTGGAGTGGATCATTAGCACATTGTATTATCAA